ACAGCAGGTGTGAGAGTCTAGCGGCGAATCCATCGGCCGTCTGTTTTGATTGCAGCTTTTCGACGTTGAACTTTCCTTGCATTATTGGGGCCCCTTTTTTGCTGCACCGAGGTGGGATCGTATATTGGCTGCATCAATATAGTGGTGCGAGTCGATGTGTGGCCCTCGGAGATGTACGTATGTACATCTAAAACACTGGAAGCATGCCTTCTATCTATTACAACAAGCTCGATTTGGGGTCCCGTTTTTCGATGTGCAGTCACTCATGTAGCTTGATGGATCTTTGCTTGCTAGAACCCGGTACTACATACTGCCAAGTTTCGGGCCCCGGCAAAGTCGATCAGCCTCAGCCCGGCATTTCTATGTGGAGGCTGAATTTTCCGACCCTGGCGACAAAGATCCCTGCGTTGCCCACCTTGGCATTTAAATCGCCAAGCATGATTTTTATACGTGCCGGGGGAAGCGCTAAAATGTACGCTCTAAGTTAAGAGATCCTTGGATGCCTCGTCCTTCTCTTCCATCGGGGCATTGGCACATATGAGCGAGATGTTGAAGAATTTCGCTTTGATGCGGATTGTGGGTGTAGACTTTCGCCCACTAGAGTGACCGCCGGTCTATCTCCCACCACAAGTTCAACACCGACTTGCGTTCCTTTACGTGCCAACTGTAGTAGACGTCGCAAGGCACCATGCTTACCTTCTTCGCCCCGTCCATCTCATTTTATGGATGGCAGTGACGTCAGCCTTTATTTTCTCTAGGACATCAACCAGCCGGGCAGCCCGATTAAAGGTTCGGATATTCCAGAAGGGGGTATCATCCGAGGCATGTGTTTTTTTGATGTGTATACATCTTTGGTTTCGGTAGGGGTAAAATTTGCGAAGCTGTAACGCATATTCCAGCACAAAATTTCGAAGGGCTTAACATGTGTATTTCAGCATACAATTTTTATTTTCCTAAGAAGCACCCTGTGTTTGCTTGCCAAATGGTTGTATACATTTAGGCATATGCATAGTAAGAGGAAATGCGCTACAATTGATTATTACTTCCGATTATTTAAACTCCGCACATGCATTTTGATATTCGTAGATGGTGTTAGGCATAGGTACGGTGACCATCCGTCCTTTATTTTAAAGGACAATCCCGCTGTCCTTTGTAATTATTTTCAAAATAAAGGACGCCTTTTGTCCTTTATTTCTAAAATTGTCCTTTAAACCAGCTCTGAATTTTTCAGAGGTAAATTTTTAAACACAGAATATGTAAAATAAAAATGTCCCTTATAAAATATAATGGAAACTTCGCCAGTTTGTTTCGCACCCCATTTAAGGGTTTCTATTTAATCGGTAATCTTTGTACAATCTATAAAGCACAAGGGAAAGTTGTGTCCAGGATCATGTTGCACGCTGAGTTTCCAGTTCCACTGAAAGAGAATAATAAACCCCGCTGCACAGTGGTTCAAAACTGGTATTTAGTGTTCTTAATTCACTGCAGGCTTCGTTTTTCACTTAATTTGATTAATTTTTATTATTCTTTTATGAAAGTTTACAATATTTGCATGAGACCAGTTGAACCTGATTTGAAAATTTGTATTTGTTTATATTAAATTTTTTTGTACAAAATGCAGAAAAAGTAGCAATTTTGAAGAAAATATATTCTTCTGTTCCAGTTAATAAATGTTACATAACAAAAACTAGTTGAAAACAATTGTATGGTTCTCTCAAAACGAAAAAATTACACAAAATTTTTAACCAGTGTGTGCTGGCTTCGTCATGCAGTGTGAATTATGGTAAACGCATTATGGTAGCAAAGGATGGCGAAGTCCTTGAAATGGATTAGGCTTAACTTTTCGCTACAGCAGGGGGGCTTGTACAATTAAATATTATAATTAACTGGTAAGTATCTTATTTAAATTACGATATGGGTAAGGTACTTTTATCATACAAGTGTATGTATGTACGTATTCACAAATCATTTTGAAAATAAATGTCCTTTATTTTACGTTGGTTAATATGGTCACCGTAGGCATAGGTTTAGTAGTCTATTTTGATAAAAAAGCAAGGCGAAAATTTAAAAAAATACTGAAATCATCTGGACCGTTGATAACTGATGAACATACATGAATATATTTATGTATAATATGCATATGTATGGATGATATAATAGCTCTGATCCTAGAAAAAGGTCAAACAGCAAAATCACTCTCTGAAGTGAGAGTAAAAAGTGAGTAGCAGCAAAACGTACGGAACAAAAAAGCATCGGGTAAAATCCTGCAACATGAACTGCATTTACATGAACCACAGATTATATTCCGAAAAGAAAAACTAAATTTAGGAATATATAAAAATAGAAATGCTCAAACGATAAACTCAAAAACAATAACTTATGCGGTGTTTCCAAGATATTTTAACGCCCTTGAGTCACAAGTATATACAAGTATATTTTATCAATCATACCGATAATTTCATGTATTAAAGGAATTAAAAATGAAAATGAATAAAAAAAATTAAATCAGCAAAATTAATAAAATTAAGTGAAATTAATGTTTAATTTCTAACCTAACCTACATTTGTATGTATGTAACTGAATCGCCTAATAATAGCATTACATATAAAAAGATTCTCCTAATTTTCGAGCTTAACTTCTAATCTGTTATTAGAAAAAGAGATTAGCCATGCAAAATTATAATTAAAAATATTTCAGATTAAACCGATAACTTTTTGGTGTCCAACCTAGTTTTATCGATTATACTTGCGAAGAAGAGGAGGAATGTCAAATGTTAAAGTAAACAAAAATTGACGCTAGTAAGGAAAATAGGTTTGTAAAGGTATTTTTAATAAAATATTCAGTTAAAATATATTTAAATGGCATAATATGTGTTGCAGAAAAAAGTGGCCACGGTGGCACAGAGAAGAAGTTTAACTTTTCCTCGAGTTTTGTGAATAACAAGCACAACCAATTTGACAGCTAACGAGCTTTGATTGAGATTATATTTATATGTAAACGTAGTTTTATGCTTTGCCGTTCGCATATGTTTACACATCAAATTTCATGAGTACCTAGTACTCACGCCTTTTTTTATTTGACATTTCTTAATCTTACGTTTACTTCAATTACATGGTTGGATTTACGTAGAGTTGTATAAAATATTATATTCATTCAACACATACGATGAATTGTGTCAATGTTGTGGGAATAGAACTTTTAGTTTTACGATATAGCAAAACGAGTGTGAAAATGTATCGATTTTTCTCTACGATATTTTGGAAAAATTATATTTTTATTAAATAATATCATGTTTGATCATCCGTTTATGTAATTTCTATTTTCATTGCATGTTTAAGCAGAAGAAGGAGGTATTATTTTCTTGTTAATTGTGTAGAATAGGCAGAACAACCGCAGTAGTCGATGTTTGTGCACAAATTTACTTTAACAGAACATACTTGACATTGACCTATTGTTTAAGAATTGATCTAAATAATTTAATTATATAATTGTGATGTAGCTTTATTATAATTATAATACGAAGTAAACTCTTTCTATGTTGGAAATCATTCACTATTATCAAAATCACGCTCAATCAAGTTAATTTTTACATATTTCGTCTTTTTCCCTTAATTTAATAAAAGAATTCTACTTAATTGCAGCTGCAGATCAAACTAAATTTTAAGTTGGCACTTATCAAGATAAGTCGATCGAAATATCTTCGAAACCGTATATTTTTGAAAAAAAAGTATTATAATTGACTTAACAAAATTACCTTAATTGTAAACTTATAGCTTTAGATAGAATCAGTCGTAAGCTAAAGCAGAAAAATATCGCATTGTGAAAAATTGTGATTTTTTCAAACAGCAGGGCACGGAAAGGCATGTTCCGATTGGGCTCATTTTTTGGCAATGGTATTTTTGTAGTAAATGGCACATTTATAGAAGTGATCACTTACAAATTTCAGGAAAACATCCGCCCATATACACTAAAACCACCCTAATGAACGTATAAATTTAAGGCCGTATTTTTAAATTGCTTAACTTCCACAGTTTTTATGCAATTTCAATAGTTGAGATATCAGGTTATTCGAATATAAATTTACGTTTAGGTAAATAATACATATTGGTCAAAGTAGAAAAAATTAAACAATGGGTTTTTTATATCACCCGGTGTAAGGGCCCAACAAGCATAGCCTGACAATATATTGTTCTTTATCGTCTTAAAGGTCCATACATTCCCATTTCAAAACATGTTTGATTTTTAAAATCGTGTGAAAAATAGTCAAGCTGTTAATAGATAAGTGCACAGAGTACGAAAATAACGTTTTTTTTTAATAAAAAATTAATAGTTCAGGAACTATAAGAAACCTATTTCCACGTAGTACTTGACCCTTCCTATGTAAAACTTTAACTAAGTTTTACTTCGGGTGTATTTCGTTTTTTTTTGTAACACGGTGTACTTAATCTGGACACCCTGCCACGTTTCTAAATTGTTTCCGAAAACTAACAAAGAGACAACTATTTGGAGGGTTGGACTTAGTAAAACCAGAAATATTATATATAGAATGTGTTAATTATATCCCAGAGAGAGAAAATTAATACTTTTTCTTACGATCTCAAAAATGCTGCTATTGCAGATAAAAGGTTTACGCAGAAATTGGGCGATATGTTTAATCTACAATTACAACTAGCTTCCATATGCAAACTACAATTGAATATGCAATTTCGAAAAGGGCAGATGTCCGAACATTTAAAGTGTTTAGGAAAAGAAATAAATTAATTATTTCTCCAAGGGTTGTGACCTATGCAAAATTACTCGGTACTCGCAATGACATTGACAGTACAATTGACATAGATTACATTGATATGAAAAAATGTATTTTATGTAAATTATGCGAGATGTGCCCTTTTCGAACTTGCATATTCAATTAAAGAACGGCCAATGAAATCTTCTTCTATTCTATAATATACGCCTTTACGTATTCCTCACGGTCGGTCTATTTTTCTTTTTTAGAAAATCTTAACTACGAGATGCCAGAAGGTGGCGCCGATAATAATTTCCACGTTGATCGGCAGCGCGGCATTGTCACCACACGCGGACAATTTGATCGCGAAACGAAAGCGCGTTACACGATACCAATCTACGTATATGACACAAATAATGCCGCTACAACAATCGCTGCCACGTACGCAAGCACCTCAGGATTTGCCACGACGGCAAGCAACACTGTCACCGCGTCCCCAATACCCGAATCGGCAGTGCCTTTCGCAGCGACAGCCGCGACATCAAGTGGACAATTTGACATTGCCACAATAATCATCACAATCACCGACGTTAATGATCATGCGCCTGAATTTCGTCAGGGTACTTGTTATCCGCTCTCCGTACCGGAAAACAATGATTTAGTGGTTATACACACGGTGGTGGCGACGGATCTCGACGAGTGCGCAAATGGCGAAATAATTTACAGCATTATTGGTGAGAATCCTAAAAATTTTTCACATTCTCCATTTGGAATTTTTTGCCTCAATGTTTTTCAGAGCTCGCAAATAACTGTTGACACATTTTTCCAATGCTGTATGCTCACTAACAAAACCGGAAAAAATGAAGCACACTCGGTCTTTTACTGAGCAGAACACTTTTCCCTCTTCGCGCGTGTTACCTGTTTTGTGTTTTCGGTTGAGTAAAGCCAATGAATCTGTCTTAAAATAACAACTTAAAAAGCTGCAACTGAGCAAAACAAAAGAAGTGCATTGACAATATTTTTTGCTTCCGATACGTTATTATCGGCGCGATATTTTTTGGATGATAATATCAGATATCGATATTTTACGCAGAAATATCGCCTGGTTATCAGAAAAAATAATTGTATACTTTAGCTTACAACATAACCATACTTTTTATATTTATATGATTAATTTTTTACGTCGGTTCAACAAACGTTAATACATATACCCTCGAGGTCAGCTGAATAAGTTAAGTGACATGTTTACCAGTTTGGCTATTTTTCTTTTGTTTATTTAATTTTTATAATTTTTTTATAGAAGTTTAGCACATTAAATTACTAGCACCACATAAATCCACATTTCAATCTTTGTACACAATTTATAAAAACTAAACAAACTTTAACAATTACATTAAAATATTGTAAACTAATTATTAATTTTTTTTAGAAAAACGCAGTATTATAGCCCATTAAATTTTAGTAGGTTAAAGTGAAAATTTCAAGGTATAAAATCGCACTGATTTTTTATTTTTTATTTTTGGCTGACGGTGTTGAGAATTTACTCCCATAGAGGATGCTCGACAATTAAAAAAATTTTGAATAAAAAGTTGAAAACTTGTGGGTGTAATTGTTCAAGTTTGTGGAATATCTAAAATTTTTGTAAGAAGTTTGGAATGTTGATTTATGTGGTGCTGGTTATGTTATGTGCTAGAGAAATAACCAAGACTTGTCAAAATGTCACTTAACTTAATCACATACACAAATGCATTTGAGTTAAACTGCGCAATCGCTTGATATATGAAGGGGTTAGAATCAAAAGGATTTAAGTAGGCCTGACATTGTTTTAAGATAATTAAAGTTAAAGTTGATTACTTATTGTAAATTCTGGGTAAATTCATTTGAAATGATTCTTGCCTAAATGAATGCAGGTAAATTTACTAATTCAAAAAATGTTTACTCTTTGTCACCAAATAAATACTATATTTAACTATACAAATATGGCTATAACTTATATTTTCAAAAAATCTCACTTAGACCCTAATTATTATAACCCCTTCATATGTACTAATTAATGAGTATGTCAAGATCTGTGCATTACAAAATGTGTCCTTACATATATTCGTGTATTCATGTATTCATATTTGAAAACATTACCTAAGATTTTTTTTACGATTAAAATTCTGATAGTTAAATTTTTTTATTGTTGGAAGTCTTGCAGCTAAAATTTTTACATGTAAGAACTTATGTCTGCCAACTAGGCCAGTAAATTTAGACTTTTTCTCAAAAAAAATTTTTAACAGCGATTTTTGACGCAGTTAACTTCTATTTTACACGTTGATCATGGATCTACTTTCTTGCCTCTAAATTTCATATGTCAACATTCCGCCATCTTGGATTTTAGGTTTTCTGGGTTTTTTGCGATTTGCAAGCTTAGTTTGCATTTTTCGTAAAAAATGGTTGAATACAAATTTGTAGAGAATTTAATGTCCCACATTTGTTATTTAGAAGATCTTTTAAAAAACGCATTTTTTAATTTGAATACTTAGTAAAAACTGCTAATGCTGAATTTTTTCCAACCTGACAACAAATTCGTAATCAGCGGCCCCAAGAACCCCAGAGGAAAATGATTCAAGCGAACCGGATCGACTTAAATTTTTTGGCCGCCATATTGGATTCGCCATCATGAATTTTTAAAATCATGCTCTAGGTTCGTAATCAGCAACCTAAAAAGCATAACAACCTGCTGTTACTTTTTCTTTAGTGTTGGGTTCTCCGGTGGCACAAAAGTTGTAAAGCAAAATCTAATTTACGGTTAGGTTAGACGCCATATTTGAGACGCCATGTTGAATTTTTCAAAAGGCCACACTATTTCCAATGGAGGCGTCTAATTTTAAGAACTTAATCTTTGTAATCCGTCCTATAAAATTTTGGCCATCGTACTGTACCTAGGGACACGAATTTCGATACCATATCGATACTTTTGGCATTCGATACCGATATTTTCTACTCGATAGTTTTAAAACGATATTTTTTGGAATCGAGTACCAGAACCCTAGTATCGTATCGAATGTCATAAACTCACATTCCAACAATGAGGGGAAAAAATTTTAGAATAAAAAAAACGTGCTAAATTGAAAAAAGTACTCGTTTTAAATTTGAGTATATACGTTATAAAATATGTGGTTTTGAAGTGCACAGATGCTTTTTCGTAATTAAGAAGAAAAAAAATATTATTTTATGTTCCGTCTGATGGTAATTGAACCCGGACCCTCTTGGCCGCAACCAATTGTATCAAGCGTCTTTGCACACTCAGTTACAGCCATAGTTGAGTTGAGTTTGAATCAACATTATGTCATACCATGTGTGTGTATATGTGTTGTGACCACTGTGCATGCTTTGTATACATATACCTTCTTAATTACATATGAAAAAGCATCCGAGACGTGCAAAACACCATCCGTGTAGTGAAAAATGCTTCATTTTAATACGAGCGTATTTGAATTGAATATTTCCATTATATGTACGTAGTGTATGTATAATGGAAAAATCCATTTTGTTAAGACTTTTCACTTGATTTAAATACGAACATTTTTAAGCGGTAATCAAATAAAAGATTTTTATACTTACAACGCGTTTTTCTTTTTCTCGGTGAAGGATAATGTTATTAACAGCTCAACCTAATATTACCAGCGATAGTTTTTCTACGCACGCACGCAAGTTTTTCTCATTTGATAAACCCAAATCAATTTGCGTGCATGATTTCTCAGAGCTACATTACTGTCAAATTTACAGAAGTTTGCCGAGAAAAATGTGAATTCATAGTCGCGCCAAAATGCCAATTGAGCATAAACGTCAAATCGAAATGTCACGCAAGACAAATCTTGGAATTTGAGTTAGCTTTTTACGCACGCATATAAGGTTGGCATGTAACAATTCTTCCCGATATAAATTGGGCTTTAAAGTGCAGAAATGTGTACTATGGTTAGGATTGCATGTGGTGGGCTAGGTCAACACATCAATCTCTACGTGTTGTAATAATAATAAAGTCCGGCGCTTACACAATAACTTAGTGTGTGGCCGAACTTCTCCTCCGATTTATCGCGTGTGCCTTTATGTTGTGGCACAAAGGGGGTGCCTACAGTTTTATGTCGACTCTGAACGGCGATTGTATTTTATGGGAAACTGTTTTTCATTTTCAAGGTTTGCGCACTTCTAACCACTACACCCCCAGTGGCCTATATGCGATACCTATATTCAGATAAATTTTTTGGTTTTTAGTATCGATATTTGGAATATCGAGTCTTTTTATTCCGATATTAATGGGTACCCGACATTTTTAAAGCGATACTTTAAATGAGTACCATATCGATACTTTCGGTTCGATATCGTGTCCCTAACTGTACCGTGACGTGACATGTTTGACAAGTAACTGGTCGTGGTCTAAGCATCATACAAAAAAACATCGTACCAAAGTTGCGGATAATGAATTTCTCTACAACTTTGAAATTTCAGTATGCTACGTATTTTCAACAGAAGTTTTCGAAAAATGGTGAAACCCGTGACGATGTAAAATTTTTTCGAAGTTTTTGCTAATTATTCACAATAAAAAATGTTTTTTTATTTATAGATTTTTCATATAAAAAATTTGGGAAATCAAATTCTCTACAGATTTGTACTTAACCATGTTTTACGAAAAATGCAAAATAAGCTTGCAAATCGCAAAAAACAAAAATCCAAAATGGCCGAACTGTGGATCCATGATCTAAGTGTGAAATAGAAATAAGGGAACGTACCCATACCACGTGACCCACTTTTCCCATTTTTAACGTGATAAAAACTTAAGCCCCCGCCCCTCATTGTGACCAAGCGTGGTATTTTGAAGATCCCGCTCCCCCCTGTATAGGGTTCGAACGATACTATCGATATTGAGTAAGTATCGATACTGAGGGTATAAAAACGAGTACTTTAATACTCGATACCTTATTTGGTGATTTTACTCGATACTTTCCAAAGTACTCGTAGTATCGAATACTTTTTAAAAAACACCCTTTTTAAATTTTGTCTTCCATTGGCAACCCAATTTTCTTTGCTTATATGAATTACTATCATTCAATTTTGTCCATCACTTAAAATAAACTGAAATTTCGTGTAGCCTGTTACATAACATAAACCAAATAAGTTTAAGTTTAATGGTCTTATTCATAAAAAATAAAGTAGGCTTAAAGAGCTTAAATAAAATGACACTTTCATACATTTTTCAGTTTATAAACCTTTTTTATTTTTATGAATAAGGCCATAAAACTTTACTTTAAACTTTACTTTAAAGTTCACGAAAATACAGAATTTTTAGAAACTTTTAGGGGATGCAGTTTTGTAACCATTACAACTTTCCGTGTAGCCTACTACCGTTGACTTTTAATTAAAACTTGCACAATATTATACAAAATTGAATAGGCTACAAAAATGCATACCCACAAAGTTTCCAAAAATTCTTAATAAAATTTAAAATTCGTGAAAGTAAATATGTGTGTATTTATGTATGTACATTTAACGTTTAAATTACTTCTAACGTGGAAGTAAATTCTGCAATGAAATAAAAATCAAATATTTTAAATGTCTATTGTTTTAATTTCAGGAAATATATATAGATATACGATTGAAGAACAAAATAATTTTAGTATCCCAAAAAACGTATTTTAATGAATCCGATACTGAGTAGTATCGATACTTTTTCCCTGATACTTTTAGAGTATCGATACCATGAGCTCGTTGCCAGAATGAGTACTCAGTATCGATACCAAAGTCTGAAATTTCGAACCCTACCCCTGTATGAAAAAATCGCTGTTACAGTTTTTTTATTTATTTTTAGTACCAATTTGATCTAATTTTTCACATTTGGAAATGTAAAATAAAAAGTGGCGGATCTAAGGGGGGCGGGGGTTTGGGGGTTTAGACACACCCCGAAATTTTTGGACCGACTTTAAATACTTTTATTTCAGCTTTTATATATTTATTAACATAAATCATCATGAATTATATGTGATACATGGGAAAAGTTTTGTCCCATCAGTCCATGAATCGTTTCGTTTCATTTCATTTATTAAGAGAAAAAAACATTAGTACAATAAGATCATAGATCTTTTATAGTACAAAACAGAGATGAATACTAGTAAAAATAAAATACACACATATTACTTAAAACAAAAATAGAAATAAAATATATATCCCATTATACATATGTAGCCATGGGCGTAGCCAGGTAGGGGCAGGGGGGAGGCCGAGCTCATCTCCCCCACAAATTGTCCTTTAAACCAGCTCTGAATTTTTCAGAGGT